TTACAGTAACTCACAGCCTTGTAACCTCCAGATTACACTACTGTAACATGCTCTACATGGGACTGCCCCTGAAGACCATTCAGAAACTTCAGCTGGTGCAGAATCCAGCCATGTGGGTAGTAAATGGTGCCAGATAAATGGCACATATAATACCATTCCTGTGGTGAACTGCCCTGGTTATTGGTGTGTTTCCAGGTGCAATTCAAAGTGCTGGCATCACCTTTAAAGCCTTATATGGCTTGGGACCGGGTATCTCAGGGGTCACCTTTTTCAAGAATCTCTACCCATCCAACCAGGTCACGCAGAATGAGCATGCTTCAGTTGCAGATGCTGCAGATCTCATCAGCAAAGAACGTCAGCTGGTGGGGTCCAGAAGAGGAGCTTTTTCTGCAGTGGCCCCTGCTCTGTGGGATATCCTCCCTTCAGAGAGCAGAATGGCCTCAACCCTATTAGCCTTTCGTAAGGCCCTAAAGATCTGACTATGTTCTTGAGACTGGGGCACTGCATGAAGAAACAGTGTGTGTGTGTGTGTGTATTTCTGCATTATGCAGCCTTCTTGGCTGGACTCATGCAACTCCTGATTGCTTAAATATGGTTGCATACTGTGTTATGGGACTGTACTCTGCATTTATTACCCTGTAGATGTACATGATGATGGCAGATGGCAGTAAGGAGTATTTCCCCCCTCCAGTTGGTTATATTAAAACGGAGAGTGTCTTACCAAGTGGCTCTTCTGCCTAGAGTTCAGATTATCCATGCCAGCCCCATTGACAATGACATGGAAAATATCTTCGTTGAGTACAAAATGTAACATGGAAAGGCTGATTTTGAGATACTTTGCATATATGTTATACCCTATTTCTTCAAAAGGGATGTTAACAAATGAAACTATGATATAGGTTTACTAGTCCTAGAAGGGGAAACTGGCAGAACTCTTGTCAATTTCACCCTTGCTCGCCAATTAAGTGCAACAAGTCCTAGTAGCTATAACTGGCAGCACCTCAAAACATCTCATGGAATATGCAATGTGGCATTAGGGTAGCATGACCTCCTTTCCAAGTCATAAAAAGAGTAAAAGGCACAGCCATGCAGAAGCCCTTGTCAGTGGAAAATCTGTAATGCCCTTATTTAGCAATTCAGAATCAGCAATTCAGCTCTTATCCAGTTTATATCAGCCATTTTTTGTTACAGACAGATCTACCAGCCTTTTGAAAAATGACTGAACACATTTAATAACAAGACTAATGATCTTCCAGAAGATCTATATGACACTGGATATAAGGAATGCTATTTTAATTCATTTATTCATTTATTTGTATCTCACCTTTTTATTTTTGCAAATAACACAAGGCAGCAAATATATCCAGCACACCTTCCTACTCCTCGTTTCCCCACAACAACTCTGTGAAGTGGGTTGGGCTGAGAGAGAGAGCGACTGGCCCAAATTCACCTTTTGTGGGTAAGACGAGAGACTTGAATTCATAGTCTCCCACTCCTAAGCCTGGTACTTAACCTATTGACCAAACTGGCTTTCTATGAGGAATGCTATTACACCCATATGCCACTTTGTGACTCTTGGTTCAGACATTACATAGGCAGAGGCTTCATCACAAACCAGATGTCCAGTGTCTTTTGTTCCCAAGTGATGGATGGCAGTTCCCAGTGACCAGGGGGGAAGAATACTGTGTATCATAGAACATTTTTATGTTAAGACCTATGTTGAAAGAAGACAAAGCAATTTAGTTTAGTTTAAAAATGAAACGATTAAGGAGGAATTTAGGCTTTTTCCAAAGTAGGATGGGATGAGAGAAGGGCTGCAGGGTGGGGTCACCTCTCTAAAAATGATCAGTAGGACAACTTTGTGCTTCAGTTAGCAAGACATAAGAACGAGCATAAAAGAGTCCCCAGCCTATTTAATTTCTCTTCTTTGTTGATATATGCAGTGATATAAACGCTGCCTCGCTAACCTAATCACAAATTAATGATGAATATATAAAAGAAGTGTGTGTGTGTGGTGTGTGTGTCCTTTTTAAAAAACATTTTGTGGGAGGGGCAGAGAAAGGGGGTCATGAATTATAACAAAAACTGGAAATGTGAGACATCCTTTCTCATTTTCAAAATAAACTATTTTATTGCTGACCATTATAGCCAAACAGCAGATAATATTCTTAGTTTCAAAAATACAGAAATCAATCATTTTTTGCAGAAAGGTAAGATTTCAAATGCCATGGTGAAATGTGTGGATCTATTTTCCCGTTTCTTGTTCCCTTTGATTTTGATTGTTTTGGAATCTTTCAAAGATGTGTTAATATCTGGTAACAATGTTTTGAAAAGAGAATTGTGGGAGAGAATATACGAAGAAACAAAACTGGAGAAGACCGTGGGGAAAGCTTAAAACTGCAGCCATTCCTTCTTTCTCCTCCTCTTTCATTTACACTCCCACATCACACACTTTAAGGCACTGGCATGCATGCATATTCGCTTGTCTCTCTTTGGGAAGGAGACAGAAGCCAACATGCAGAAATGAAAGGATTCTCTGGGAATAAACAAGGATGAGACAGAGATAGCCGAGTTTGTTCAAAGGGAGGAGCGGGGGGGTCTTCTTGGACTGTGTTTTTCATGGGCTTTGCTAATGGGGTACGATGTCCTTGCAACCTGCCTGGTGCTGCTAGCTCCCATAAGCAAGAGACGGAGCCAGAACTGGTTATCGTAGGGTAAGTCAGAAGGGACGAGGATGCAGATGGGAGTGGATGCATGCGTGTATAGATGTGAATTCATTTTGTGTGTATTCTACAGGGCTCTAGTTTTGATCATTCTCCTGCCTGCATATATTTATAGCATTTCGTTTCAGCTCCTCTATGCCCCATCCTTTGTGAAGGGAGGGTTAAGGAAGCAAGCTTCTCTCCTGTAGCCCTTTTTGAGGTTGTGGCTCAGTTTGTATGTTGGTGGGCTGCTTGCTTGTGAACAATGCATTTGCTGTAATGAGCTAAATATCACAGTACAATTCTGAAGATATAAGTTAATACCCTGTAAACAGGAGGGCTGTCAATATGACTGAAAAGTCTAAAGACAAAATAGTTTGCTTTAGGTGACATTTTGCATTATTCTTTCATTAAGGGGGTCAGGTTCATTACCTCAATAACAATTTTATTTAGAGCAAATATTCCAAAATCAAATGGTAACAAAACCCCTTCTAATGTAAACAGTGTCGCATAGTGCAGGCCAATCTGTCTAGATAAAAATTGGGTTTGGCTAAGAGTGTTAAGTTTTATTCCTTTTCATATACTGTACTGTGATAATCTATATACAGTTTTAATACAAGAAAATATATTTCTGAGAATGAGTTAATGCTGTGATTTAATAAGAAAGTAATATATTTTTTCCTTAACATGTCCTCTGGAAGAATAGGTTAATTAGTAACAATTTTGTGAGCCATGGTAAATATACAACTTGTACTTCACAGATGTTTATCTAAAAGGCAACATGTAAAATTTTTATTTTTGTGAAAAGTTATTCATGTATTATTCAGCACCAAATGTTAAATATACTGGTAACTATCCTTTAAGAATGTTATCAGTTTTATTAATTTGTATAGCACTTACCCTAATGAACAAAAATTTAGATATATTGGGAGAATGATAGAATTATAGCTCTTTATGCATCATGGCCTATCAGAATTATTATAGTTGCCATGCCATAATTTCTGGAGAACCATTAATTCTACAATCTGTGTATGAAGTGCATTTATATAGCTTGACTTTAAGGACTTGATGTTGGATGCTACCCTTTCTTTATATTCAGTGCACCTATAAAAGAAAAGTGGATACCAAAAGCAGGTACTTTTTATTTCTTTTTCTAACCCCATTTCTTGATTTTGAGAGGGAGGGGCAAGGTGGATGAAATACAATAATTACTGACTTTTATCTCCTTCAGAAATAAGGAGATAAGCATTATAGTATAATACATGAAGTTTTACTTGGTTTTCATAATTTTGCATATCTATACTGTTTGTGAATGCTCAAACTATTTCATATGCATTTTAAAAATTATATATTTTTTCAAAAAAATCCATACTATTATTGTTTTATTATTTTAATGTGATATGCTGTAATGTTATGTGCTATAATGTTATCCGTAAGTGACTAGTTCTCAGCCCCTTTTCCTTAGGAGCTAGTCAGGACTGCTGTGCACAGCCTCTCTGCCTGACCATCTACTGCAGGGTTGGTGTTGGAGCTCCTGGCTAATGGTTCAGGGGACTTCAGTCTGCCTTCCCTGGGAGTTACAGTAACTCAGGAGTTTATGGAAGCCATGACTTCTGTGGGCCTGTCCCAAGTCATCCAGGCTAGGAATAACAATTACCTACCTGGTTTGGTGTACTTGTCACAGCAGTGTCTTTGTGATCTAGAACTGGTTGATCTGTCCCTGGTCCCCTTGCACAAGCCTATTACAATCTGATAGCTATGGACGTCTCTAAGGTCGTACCCCTCTGCAGAGAGGTGGGACCTATTAATTGGTCTGCCCTCAGTGACTGATGGACTTCAAAGGATTTCAGAAGGAGCTGGGAGTTATAACTGAAGATCCGCTGCATAGACCTGCTGAAATCCTAGTTTCACCTGGAATGGGAGTGTAGCTGATTATGCCTAAGTGATCTCTCTCGACCCATGGATCTCATTGGGCCCTGTGGTATGTGGATGAACTGAGAGAGATGAAGCAAGTGTCTAGGGCTCTGCTGGTGGAAGACACAGAATGAAGTCTGTAGCAAGAGATCTGACCCTCAATCCCTGCCGTGCTGGGTCCTTCAAGGATCAGTGCTTTCTCTGCTCCTGTTTAACTTCTGCATGGAAATGGGTGAGATCATCTGTCACCATGGGGTGAGATGTCATCAGATATTATCAGATATGCTGATAATACTGTTCATCAACTGTAAAAGGAAATGCACATTGTGCAGTTATGAATGAAAAAAGGCCTAAATTAGAATTAATTGCATCTAATTCTTTCAGAAAAGGGCTGTCAAAAGGACTTGTGGACCATCCTTTCCAAGCAAAGAATGAATATTGCCTTCCAGCGCCTTTTACAAAAAGTGTACAAGAAGCAATTGACAACTACTCCTTGTATGTATTAACTTCTGAAATCGTATTTAGTATTTAAGTATTTAGCTAATATTTATCTCATTTTATTGCTAAAAAGTGAATAAATGCATAGAATAAGTTGATATGAGAAGACAGATTTTACTTCAAAGAACACATCACTTCAACATTCTGCTTCCCCGTGCCATCTCAATCTAGCATGGCAATTTTAAACAGTGTAACATCTTCAAAGCCATTCATAATGTGGCTTGAACATTTATCTGGAAATTAAAAAGTCACAAACTCTAGAAGGATGATTTCCCTCCTGTGACTTGAAATACCATACATACAGCATTGAAATATTGCTAGGATTTGACAGTAGAGATGATAGTTCTGGGTTAAAGCCTATGCTTTGCATGAGATGGTTCCAGATTCAGGTGGTTAGTGTGTGAAAAATGTTTGCCTGAAACACTGTATAGTTAGCACTGAAAATGATCTTAAAAGGAAACTTCCACAAAATTGATCTTGTTAAAACATCCATAGCACTATGTACAGTGTATTTTGGAGGCCTGTAATTGGTGCTGGAATCAAGAGACTATTTTACTATAAATATTTGAACAAATAGATTTAATATCTATTTCTTCAATAAGGACAAGCATTACGGTCCCAGTAAGAATGGGGAATAAAATGAGCAAGGAGATGGATACAGCATCATTATATAAGACCTGCCATTTTCTACATATGTGATCTTGATATACTGTAAAAATGGCTGGGCTTGGATCTCAAAGCCATTTTCACTATCCTGCTCATTTTATATCCTCCACCTCCAGACACCAGTAGATAAAAGGAAACAAAGATACAATTAAAATAATGTCAGATTCCCTCCTTTAACACTCCTGTAAGTAACAGGTTCTGTTACTTTAATAGCAGTCGCACATTAATATTTTGTGCACTTTTGGCCTCACCTTTGTTTTCCTTTCTGTCCTGAATATGTATATGTGCCTACACCTGAATGAACCTGTTAGCTTTTAACATGCCACAACATTCTACACCTGTGGTTGCTGACAGACATGGCACTCCCTAGCCCAGGGGTAGGCAACCTTGCTCTGTTATGTCTCGTGGACTTCAACTCCCAGAATTCCTGAGCCAGCATGGCTAAGCATGGAAACCTCTCCCTTTCCTCTCAGCATGGCTGGCTCAGGAATTCTGGGAGTTGAAGTCCATGAGTCATAAGATTGCCTACCCCTGCCCTAGCCAAACTTCCTGTAGATCGGGTTAACGGGTTTAAAAACTATCCTGGTGGCTATACACATTCAAATTATTACCGAGAAGTCCACAGAATTACCAAGAATCAAGGTAGATCCAAGAGAGAGACCTGAAAAACTTTATTTACATATGAAAGACTGTTTTGGAAGATATAGTTACAAACTAGTTACCAGAAAAAGTCCTGTTAAACTCATAAATGGATGAATAGATAGATACTTCCCTCCCTATCTACTGCTTAGAAGTTCCATTAATTTTGCTAATTGTATTCCCAAGACTATAACACATAACTACTTAGGTGTACAGTTGAATTTAAATCCATAGTACACAATATCAAAATCTGTTATAAGAACAAAAAATACTTTTTAATTTTTTTATTTCATTTATAGAATCATAGCTGCAATTCTACATGGCTTTAAAATGTAAAAACTAAAAATTATAACAACTTATAAAATTGCCAAGCATCCACTCTGGGGAGTGGAAATAATGACATTATTTACATAATTGTAAAATGCATATCTCAGGGAGTAGAAGCAGTGTTACTGACATCTGCTCCTCTTCCACCATAGATGCCCAGGAGAGCATGTAAGTGTAAGACTTACGTAAATTTGTTCCTTTACAACAAATCTGACACTGAAGTTTGCATTTGGAAATGAATATGCAAATATATATTTTACTATCCAATGAAATAGTCATTGCTTTTTGCCATGTAAGCCAATAACATATGTATTTGCTACAATAGTAGTAGACGTAGATTAATTATTAATCTTTTATTGCCTTGGGATCTACTGGTCATGTTTTATTAATCCATAATATTACATTTAAATTTTGTTTCTATCAACAGGCCTTCTGTTTCATCACTTTCACCAAGTGGACAAACAACACCCACAGGTTTGAATAACTCCTGGTCAGGAATACAGAGCTGTACCACTGGCCCATCTACTGAAAGAAGTTCTGTTTACTCTTGGGGCGATGACGTAGGTCAATCTTCAGTAGTAAAGTTGGTATAAAATGTGTTTAAAAATATGGTGGAGATTTTTAGTAACAGCAAAGCTTAATATTTGTTTGAATAAAACTTACTTTTTTTAGATAGATTCAGAGTCTTGTCTCTTCTTACTTTCAATTTGGTTTCTACTAGGGTAGAAACCAGGATACCCTGAGTTCTAGTCCCACCTTAGCCAACAGGATGATATTGGACCAGTCACTTTCTAGCACCCCTAGAAAGCAGGCAATAACAAACCACTTCTGAAAAACCTTGCCAAGATTATTTCAGGGATTTGTCTAGGCCAGAGGTATCAAACTGCCATCCTGCGAGCCAGTTTCATCATACCGAAGCTGAGCCCACCCCATTCCCAGCAATGCAAAAAAAGTTGCGATGCGTCGCGCACATCATGTGACACGACGAGTTTGACACCCATGGTCTAGGCAGTTGCCAGGAGTTAAGACTGATTTGAAAGCACAAAAAAGAATAATACCAAAAACAAAACTCCAAATTAACATTAAATCATGGTTTTCTCTTTAAGACTATGAAGGAATATAGTTTATATTTATCAGTGTTAAATGTTTTTTTTCATTGTTGTCTTATAAATTTTCTTACCTAGGAAGAAAAATAAAATAAATATAAGTACATAATAGTAAAAGAATGTGCAGGTAGTCTTTTCTTAGCAACTATTTGTTCAAATTTATAATGGCTCTGAGAAAAGTGACTTATAACTCTTCCTTACGATTGTCAGAGTGTCCCCACAGTGTCCCCATGGTCATGTGATCACAATTTGAGTATTTGGCAACTGTCACACATTTTTATTGTGTGGTACGTGATCAGCATTTTCAATAGCCAGCTTCTGACTAGCAAAGTCAGTGGGGAAACTAGCAGGAGGTCGCAAGTAACTGATGTGATGTTTCACTTAATGTCTCCACGTAATTCACTTAATGACCACTAGGACTTCTGGGATTGTTGTTGCTATGTAGCATCATGTGATATTTCACTTAATGACCATTTAACTTAGTGACAAAGTTGCCTGCCCCAATTATGGTTGTTAAGGAATGACTACCTGTATTGATGTCAGGATGATAAGCAAACTTTGAGAAGAGTGTACATGTCCTATGCTTGTTTGAGCTTCTTAGAATAAACTATGGGTTATTTGAGCTCCTCCTTTATTTTTTCTAATCTTCTATTTCTGCTTTTAAGGTTACCTTGTTCTTAATTATCATTGTGAACATAAATTCCTCTGATATTATTTCTTTTAGATACTGCTGATGCTTGTTGTCCTAATTCTGCTTTTTTAAACATAATCATCAATGATGAAAGGCTCTTTCCATGTAGCCTTTGTTCTACACCACATTAAATAATTCTTGTTGTTAAATAACTCCTGTTGTTCTTCACAAGTCCTGCATTCCTTCTGAATTTACTCATTTTAAACTTTGTTCCATTCATTCTGTCTTTGGCTAAGCACGTCTCTCATTCTCTTTCAGCTGATTCGTGTCACCAGTCTTTCCTATTTAATATTATCTTTTCCTGCTTCTAATTTATCTCACTCATCTTGCGCATGTATTTCCTTTGGTCACTTTTTGTCAGTAATTTTTCTTAGTCCTTCCTTCCTTCCTTCCTTCCTTCCTTCCTTCCTTCCTTCCTTCCTTCCTTCCTTCCTTCCTTCCTTCCTTCCTTCCTTCCTTCCTTCCATCCTTCCTTCCTTCCTTCCTCCCTTCCTTTTATTTTAGCTGTATAAGAAAGGAAAAGCTCAAAATAACTGAGACCCAGCTAAACCATTGTGTCATCAAGGCCAATCTGTAGAAACCTACATGCAAAACACAAAAGCAACACTTTTTTCCTGCCCTGGATCCCAGCAGCTGATATTTCAAGTCAGTTTGTTTCTAATTTTGGCAGAAGAATGCCACCTCCTGAATTGTTCCATGAACGTCCTTTTAAACAGGATTTAATTTTTTTTTTGCTTTTTCTTCTCCTCATTTCCTTCATTTATTCTTGTTCTTTTACTGATGTTCTGATCCACTTTTCCCAAAACTTATTGTATATTTGAGGCCTTGTTCATTTCCTAAATTGATTGTTGTTCCTATTCTTTGTTACATAATCTAACTTTCATTCTGTTATTTACCCCTTTAATTCCCAACCCAATGAATCACTGGAAATAAGTTACGTAATGGGGCTTACTATGTCTGCCTGCCTATCAGTAGGATAGCAATACCAATAGCACTTAGACTTATGTACCACTTCATAGTGCTTTTACAGCACTCTTTAAGCGGTTTACAGAGTCAGCATATTGCCCCAACAATCTGGGTCCTCAATTTACTGACCTTGGAAAATGCAAGGCTGAGTCAACCTTGAGTGGTCAGAATTGAACTGCCGAACTGCAGTCAGCTGGCAGTCAGCAGAAGTAGCCTGCAATACTGCATTCTAACCATTCTAACAATAACTTTGAAAAACAAGCAGATTGAGACCAAATTTAGTATCATGAGAGAAAGCTAAAAAAAAAAAAAAAAAAAGCCAGATCTGTCTTGGTGTAATTGAGAAAAATGGAAGAAATCGCCCAGGGCATTTCTATAGGAGGTGCAATGGGGGCATTGCCTTGGAGGACTGATGATTCTCAGCTCACGCTTCTGTTTGGTCACCTGACCCAGAGCAGAGAATGTGCAGCTTGCTTTTGAGTGCATAAGAAACAAACTCATTGTAAGGGGAGGGGAGCAGAAACAAACGAACACATACGCTGACACAACATATTATAAAGTAAATAGTCCTTGTCTATATAGCTGCCTCATTTAGTGATAGTTTGTAGTTATGACAACGATGAAAAAATAACTTTAAGACTAGTCCTCACATTTACAGCAGGTTTGTAAAACAAAGGAAACCTGAAGTTTGTATGCACAGTCATGGTTTTGCTTAGTGACCACTAAATGAGGGCTATCTGTATTTCACTATACAGAAGATTCCACCTATGGTCAATTCAAGGAATGTTCTGTTGCTTTTTCTAATTTAGTCTAGTCTTTTTTGGTTTCTTGTGCCCCAAAGGTATTTTCTCTTAAGCTTCTTTCCATCCTTTCATTATTTCTCTGTTTCTTTGTTCCCATTTGATGTATTCAGGTTTTTTTTTCTTTCCCAGATTATCTAAATCTGGTGATGTGCATATGTGAACTTCTTTCCCAGATTATCTAAATCGGATGATGCCCAGATGGATTGAATGGATATGAAAGGGCTTGCAGTGCAACACACTCCTTAGATGAATTCAGGATAACAAATACTGTATCTTCATCTTGAAGCTGCTAGAATCAGGCCCAGAATGGTGCTGTAATTCCATAACATCACTGGCCAATATCTATAGTACTGTCATTTTATTCAGCTGCAATGCTATGTGGAAATAGTGTTTGAGATTCTTAATTTTAAAATCCACAGGAGTTTGATAAAGCAAATACCCAAAGAGTGCATCAATTGTTTTGGGATGTGGATGAAGTACTGTTTGAAGGAAAAGTGAGCTCTCAAACTGAGAATCTAAAGACAGAATGCAAAGACTGGACAAATAGATCACTTCACTTAAGGCAAGTCTATAAAAAAAATTATTTTATCTGAGGTCTTTATTTTATCTTAGATTATTATTTTCTGCATGTATTTTTACTTAATATGTTTAACTTGCCTTTTTTGCACTGGCTTAAATTACAAGTCTCTTGTAGTTTGAATCATTGCTGAGTTATACAGCAGTAGCTGCCATACTATGTTTCTGGTCTTATATCAAGTTGAATTGAACTGCTCTGCCTATATTCAATTTCCTTACTTCGTTATCATATATTCTTTTTACAGGATTTTGGGAAAACAACTTCTTTTTCCAAAAGATGATGGTTTTCAGCATTACCAGAGCAGAAGTTCTAGTTCTGTTTATTCAAAATCTCTTCCTACTTTGGGTGAAATCAACACCAGTATGAAAGAGTATGTTGTCATCAATTTAATAGATATTTATTCATTGAGGTATATGATTGACATTTTAAGATTATGTCTTTTTGGCACTCCCAATGTATTAAACAAAAACATTCAACCGAATAGAAGCAGCATATTGGTAATTCATGCACCAAGTGCTTTTTTAATAATGGGAAAAGGTACTTTTAAAATAGATTATACAGTAATTAAATTTCAGAAATATTGCATGGGATAAAATAGCAGAATTTGCAAGAAATGAAATAACTGTTGACACATAATAGTGATTGTTATGCATATTATATTGTTAGGTTTATATTTTGTTGATGCAGGGTTATATGATTAAACAGGAATATAGAGAACTAGACAACCCACGACCGTTGGGTCATTCTTCTTTCCACATGTAATATAGGCATGCACTCTTTCCTTTCCTCTTACAAAACTCAACAGAATCCAGGGGTAGGGGTAACCTCTTTAACAAATTCTTCAATGCCCCCAACAATGGCAGAGTTTGTAATGTACTTCCTTCACTGGAAAGGTTCTTGAAAAATTGGGAAAACTTTTAGATAAGTTTCTATCTTTAAAATATCCCATGTTGAACTGTATAGCATAGTCAAACATCAGAAAGTGTTCATAACATTTTGTATCATGTCATAAAATGCTTTCTGAGGATGTTTATGTCATAAAAAGTTTTACAAATTTGCCAAATTTCAATTCCATGAGAGTCACGGGTTCCAGAATTTAAATGTATTTTGTAAAGCAAGCCCTTTTGAGGTACCTTGTTGCCCTATGATGCAGCATTTTGCCCAACTACAGTAGTAATAGTATGAGGTAGTCAGGATACTCATGACCAAACAATAATCAGAAATGTGATAGAGATGCTTAACAAAATTATAAGTTAGCATCTGTACTAATGTAATTGGAAAACATCTGAGTAGAGATGAGGCATGTTCTGTAAGATGTTCAAAGCATACTAAAGATTGTAAGAGGCTAATCTTCATTAGAATGTTACTTTATGAGTAGTTTTATTCTTATTTTTTTGTTGATGTAAATTGTTTTTTCTATGTGTTATGCTTGGAAATTTTAATGAGTTACCTTAATAGCTTATAGTATTACTCTTTAAAAAAAATAGCATTTTTTTTCTTGTGTGTACCATAATTTAGGTTATGCATCTCAGGATCAAAACTGATACCAGCAGCTTTTCCAGTGCACAAAGCATTCAGCTCTGAATTATCAGAGATTTCTTTATCTGAATCACCTGGATATTCATTCTTGGAGGAAGAAGTTTATGATGCAGAAGGAAAAATGGAAGAATATCTTGCATTCGACAAGAAGGAACTGTAAATGTTCAGTTTTAATAGCTTTCATGAGAAATAATTATGACTAAAGAAAAATTAGACTTTTTATGAAATTGTCTACATATATCTGACTTATCTTTGCTTGTATCTTTAAGCAGCATCTTTGGTAGCAGAAAATTGCAGGCAAAATTCTTTTGTCTTAAATCAGTGAATGTCAATGATTGAGATTGGTAATATGTTCTAGACTGAAACTGTTTTCGAAATGAAACCTTCACCTGCTTTTTCTTCATAATAAAGTTAGCTAATTTAAACACATATGGTTAAAAGCTAACAAATGTATTTGTCATTTAACAATCAAAGAAGTTTTTAAGATCAGCTAGGCAAAAATTAAAAGTTTATTCTACAATAGATTGTTTGCATGAGCAAAGCAATGTTAAAAAGTTCTACCAATTATTTTGGATTTGATCCCTCTCTTTATAAGCAATTAAGCTGCTGAAGAATTTCAATTCAATCATGCATGCTTTTCTTAGTTTTATTGGAATTAGTCATTTAGGCAAAAGAACATGAAGTGAAATGTCAGAAACTTTTACTCTAAAATCATTTGTCTTGAAAATTGCTGAGAATATATGAAATATGTAAAATACTAACCCTACTATGATATTAACATTGCACTACTTCCTCAGTACATATAACAGTTTTTCTGAAAGGAAGTAGAAATTTTCTATTGGATTCTTTGTGATTTATTTAATTCAAAATCAAATAATGGAAGAATATTTTGCAATATTGTCTATATTGTTAGTGAGTGATCAAGTGATGGATACTGAAGGCCAATTTGTACAATACAAATTGTAATAATCATATTTCCTGTGTGTATAAAATACAGCTTTTATGTGCCCATGCATTTACCACTGAGACTTGGTAGAGTTTAAATGTGATAAAATCATAAGTTATAATTTGGTAAGTTCTGAAATAATACTGTGGGGCAGTACTTTGATCAAAAGGTACTTTGATTACATTAACCATGTTGTTATTAATAATTAATAGTGCTTAGTATTAAAACTTTAATTTCCTTCTTTCATTAGTGATGATGAAGATTTGGAGCAAAGGAATCCTCAACTTGCCCAAAAACAAATTAAACATGGCATTCCTCCTGTTTCTCCCAACTCCTGCATCAAAGAAGCTGTAACTGCTGAAGTGTTTGATCAAATCTGGAAGAATGTAATTAAAATATTGGAAGAATTAATAAGAAAATACTGGGAATCATCTATTTCAAGTAAGTAGAACATTTTAAAGACAGGCTGAACCATTCTACCTGGTTGACTTAATCAAGCAAAAGGGACGAGAGTCAAGTGGGTTTAGGACAACTCACTGTGGCTATCTTGCCATGGCCAACTTGCTACAGCCATTTTGTTGTGCCTCCTGTGTCCATCTTGCCACAGCGGTGGGACAACTCATTGCAGCCAACTCACTGTGGGACAACTCATTGCGGCCAACTTGCTGTGGAACAACTCGTTGTGGCCAACTTGCTGTGGGACAACTCATTGAGGCCAACTCGCTGTGGGACAACTTGTTGTGGCCAACTCACTGAGGGACAACTTGCTAGAGACAACTCCATGCAGAATAACGCAATGTTATCTGCCACTGTTTTTTTTGATATTATTTCCATTTTTGTCAATGGAAATAATATCAAAGAAACAGTGGTGGATATCATTTATTGCATTGATTTATCCGGCTTGGAATTGTTCCACGGTGAGATGTTCCACAGCAAGTTGGCTGTGGCAAGTTGGCCTTGGTGAGATGGCCATGTCAAGATCGCTGCGGTGGGTTGGCTGCAGAGAAATGACCATGGCGAATTGGTTGCAGTGAGTTGGTTGTGGTGAGATGGCCATGTTGAAATGTCTGTGACAAGTTGGCCATGCCAAATTGTCCCATTCCAGAGTGAAGTATGACTGGATTGGTCTTATCTTGCCAAGAATTTTGTCCACGTCCTTAGGGTGGATGAATGAAAATTATCCATAGCAGTTACTAGTGTTGCTGGGCAACTAAGATCTGTTATAACCAAGAACCCAAAGTTGGGGCAAACATGAACAATTATGTTTGTGGGTATCTACCAGACATGCCACAGAAGGCAATGAAGTTTCCCCTTCCATTTTAATAGGTCCTTGATTACAGACCTCACACAGGCTCTTCTGGGTGTGCCAATGCATAGGCAGTGGCAAAGAACAGTTGCTTTGTCACTTTGAGAGTCTTCAGCCTATCATATGGCTCTGTTCAATGATACCGTATCCTTTAACTCCATGAAAGAAATCCTTTAGGCTCACAAAGCAAGGATTGACACCCCAGAAGCTATTGGGTCAATTGCCTTTAATCTCTGCCCTAGAGATCTACTAGGGATCTACTAGAGATCTACTAGTGCAGAGAAAAAAATACCAGTTTAGGTGGAAATTGTTCCAAAGTAGTCAACAGTATTCCCTTTCTGTGTCCCTATGGAACACTCTCTCCCCCCTGAAGTTGAGCAGGCCTCTATTCTCCTAGCCTTCCATCAAGCTTTGAAGACCTGACTTTTCCCCAAAGTGAGGATATATGACAGTGGTGGCGAACCTATGGCACGGGTGCCAGAAGCGGCACTCAGAGCCCTCTCTGTGGGCATGCATGCCGTTGCCCCAGTCCTAGGCCTTCACCTGGGTTTTATAAAACCTTTTCGCTTTAGGCCTCCGCCGCAAAAAAAAAAAAAGGTTCAGTCAGTTTCAACTTCTCACAGGGAAAAAAAAGATCTTGCAAAGTTGGAATTGATTGATTGAACTTTTTAGTCCTACCCAGTCTGCCGTTACCACCACAGCCAACCGCCCAATGGGCCATGCCCACCCAATGGGCCACACCCACCCAGCACTCGACGATGCATAAGTGGGTTTTAGGTTGCAGTTTGGGCACTCAGTCTCTAAAAGGTTCGCCATCACTGATATATGACTTAGTGCCAGATTTTAGTTGGTTTTAATGTTTTAATGTGTTTAGTTTTGTAGTTTTATTATGGTTTTTATATTTGATCAGGAGCCAACTAGAGTTGGTTTTTAAATCAGTGACTATATAATTGTTTAAAATGAAATAAATAATCAAATAAATAAATTATATTCCTCTAAACCATTAGGAGATTAGGATTTCCTTTAAATCTGAACCCCTTCATGCATATAACACCCTCTCTATCTGAACAAACAAAACAACCTTCCCAACCTTGGCCCATGAAGTCATAGAACATTGATGTGCTGTTGACAGAATAGCTTCAATTTTCTGTCCGTTCCCCTAGAACAGGGGTAGGCAACCTCTTTTATGACTCATGGACTTCAACTCCCAGAATTCCTGAGCCAGCATAGAGCCAGGAGTTGAAGTCCAAGTCATAAAAGAGCCGAGGTTGCCTACCCTTGCCCTAGAAAAACCACCTATCTATCAACCTTGGGAAGCAGAATTGTATCATCCTGGCAGCTGAGTAGAGAAAGTGACAATTATAAATAATTATTAATAATACATTGCTTCCAAAGTTGAAGCAAATTAAGAGGGTTCTGATATTGCCTGATTCATGTATGTATATTTACTATTTTTATGTAATAATGATCTAGAAAATGACAAGTATATGGAGAAATCAAAAATTACTGGAAATAAGTTGTCACATATTCCAGCCTCCCATGCTACGGTAGATACATCAAGTGTTCCTCCATCCAGAGGGTCAGAGGTTCGATCCATGTCTTTTGGTCTGCATTTTGGACAATCCCAGGTAAAATAATATCTTTTCATCAACATATCAAAAATCTTCATGGTAAGAATGAACAATCTTTTTTTCTTCATGTATTTTGTTGAATATTCTATTTTACTTGGTTCCCTCTGTCTCCATGGTTCTTGGGTGCTTAAGCCTGGGACAATTTTCCTCATCATTCTTTTTTTCTTTTGGCCTTTGAGCAACATGGTAAGTTGCAATATTATAACAAAAGACCAGGGTAATTTATCATCATGTCTAAAGCTCAAATATATGCATGTATGAATAAGCCATGCAAGAGACATTAATACTAATAAAAATAAATTAAATATTAATTTATTTATTTCATATTTTGAATTTAATTTCATTACTGCTCCATGATACCATTTTATAAGTTTGCAACAGAACATATGTAATAATATTTTAAATAATTTAATTATTACATTTATTCTGTGAATAGTGTCTCAGAAACTAATAAATACTAAAATAAGTTTAAAAACTGTAAGAACTCAAAGCCCAAGTGGATAAGGGGTTAAGATTCACATTATTGTATTTACAATAAATAAAAACATGTTTGCCATACGCTAGAGAGATCATAAAGATCATACTGTACTAAACAAAATTGTTCTCAAAGCGTTGACTATTTCTTAACTGTTATATGAATCATTTTATTCACCTAAGTCAATGTGCAGTGCATGGGGCTTTTACAAAAAAGATGCTGCTACAGAACTTTTATATTTCCCATTGTTATACACAGTGAACCCAATCAAGAACAGAGTCCTTCATGCTTTCTTTAGAATTTTAAAAAAATCAGTAGGTTGAGCTGTATATAGCAATTATCTGGTGGCTGATGGCTGCTCCTAATATTTTGGGGAAAAATAAGACTAAAAATAAACTGGACAATAATATTCCCATGCTTGGTCCCAGGGAGATTTGTTTCCTCTTCTTCCTTCTTTATGATAATAAGACTATTTTAGGGAATAATTATATTCTGATATTGAATGACCTTCATCCTGATTGAATGACATATCTGTGTTTCTTTCTGTTGCTTTCTTTAGGCCCACCGTTTCTCTAGCAGTTCACATGACAATTTAAATGGTGTCATGACAATTCAAGCTAAACCACTACAACAGAGATATTCAAGCTTCATTGAAAAGTATGTTTTAAAGTGATCTTATAAAAGTACACTTTTGTATAGGCTGCATTTATCTATTTATTTCTGGGCTTATTTATTTTAGTTAGATGGTTAAAGTGTATTAGGATTATAGATTAGATTTATAAAATGATAAAAGGAATAACATACCTGATAGAAATAGAACATCAATTTTATTTTTATTCAAAACATTAAAATAAAAACTCCAAAAAAAGAAAATATATAAAAACAAAACTACACAAAAAGAATGCATAAAATGAAAAACAAGACATATACAGACACACACACACACACACACAATTGACCCCTCTAGTTGAATACTGATATACTTCAAAGATAATAACTCCTTCCCTTTTGCAATGCAGACACACAATTTATAAATTTCTAGAAGTTTACCCAACCTGCTTAGCCTGACATCTATCTACTATACAAAAACATAGTTCATAGTTTATAGATAAAGGCAACAGCTAAATTAAACTTCAAAATCCTGTTAATACTATAGTCTATTTATTGTATGATTAATTACATTTTGGGAAGATGGGAGAAAGTAATTTGGGATTAAAAATATGCATGGCCAATTGTGTCTCTAGACAGTTGCTTCACACTTTTTATCTTGGTTATCATGAAAGGATAATACATTGTTCTTTGCTCAATTTATTATGTTTTACTCTCAGAGAAAGGCACTTGTGAGTTTCTTATCTCTGATGCCAGAATCATTAATCAGATTTGAAATTTATCATTTCTTTATTGGGAGATGCTGATCCACTTATTATTCAACTTCAGGTTGCTGAAGACTTTAATCTTATATATGTGGAGTGATGTTTGATTGAAACTGTTTTTCAGGCGTGAACAAGAAGACAAGCCACAAGGTGTGGGTTTCAGTATTAATTCAGCAAAGAATCGAGTGGGGCGAATGACTGACAGCAATGTCTTGTCATTACCTCGAGTGTTGCCTGGATCCTGTAAGAAAACAGTGGGCCATCGTAGGTTACCATCAATAGCACAAGATCAACTTCGTTTAAAGACTCCCAATGTTTACAGTGATGAGGTCCTGCGAGGAACAAAATTGTAAGTCCTTATTTCTGTTCTTTGCTACTGTAGCTTCAATATCATGTTGAGTTCACATAATAGCATTTGGACAGCACTGAGAAATAATGTTGTGATTCTGTAACACAAACACTGCATTTAGAAGAGAACTATATAGTCTAAAGATGTTATTTTATCCTTCAAGCTATGAAAATAAGGCTCATTGTAATCTTAGAAACAAATTAATTTAAAGAATGTAACTGAGCCTGCAAAATTTACTCGTTTTTAGTACTGCAGTAAATTTGTCTCATGCAGATCTTTTTTTGTACTTGTAGCACAAAGTAGCACAATAATAAGAGTAATGAAAGAATCCTATATGAGGAACTAAGCAGGTATGAGGAACTAAAGTAATAAGATCCAGATTTTTAAGTGGGAAGATATGCATTATGAAGATTGTGTAATATTAAGTGGATGTCTTGTGCTTCAAAAACAATCTGCCTTCCCAGTTTGGCCACGCCAGATTTGCTAGGACTATAATATCCAGAAGTTCAGTTTTTGAAAGTCATCGTATTAGGGAAGATTGACTTAATATTTCTATATATGCAACAGAACTGTTATTTATTCACCATACTGGGTTAAGAAGCAATCTTGTAGCAGTTTAAGGAACTGAAATAAGAGTTAATTCCTGTGTCCATGCTGCTTTCCTACAGATGCACTACCTTAGATCGTTTGCCATCTCCATTTACACCTGCTATCCGGAACAAGTTGCCACCCATAAATTCAGACACGATTGATCAATATCTTTCAGTACCCGGACTACGCTTAAGCTTTGTAAGACAACTAAATTATTTGTGCTGTGAATTATTGAATACTTGTTTTCATATCTATCTAAAGAATCTAGGGTGTGCACATCAAATAAAAAAACTGAACTTGATTAAAATACAGTGTGATCAGGTATTGGGTGAAGTTGCCAATAAAACTTTTAATCATATCTTTGCATAATCCCAAAATGTATACATCCACCCACATATTCATAATTTATTTCAGCTATGAAACTTACCTTGAGTCGTCTTACACAATACACTTTTCCTCTGTGCCTAATAGGATTGTTGTGAAGTTAAAATGTCTATTATATAAATTATTCAGATATATAAAATAGATCTATATATGGAGATGATGAATGCTGCAAAGACTAAGAGATTGGATAGCAATCTCCAGTGACTTTGAGTGCCAAGAGACAAAACGATCAATCATTAAACTCGCAATTGCAGCAGACCTTTTAAAAGGACACTGAGTATGCTAAGTGTACTTCTAATCACTTTGGAAACTGCTTATTTAAACATTTTAAAGTCTTAGAAGTCTTTGGAATGACAAGTTTGAAAAGTCACCTGGTGAGCCTATCTTTGTTTCTGAACAACAACAAAAAATTTTTTAAGAAGTTAAAAAATGTGAAATAAACAAAAAATTGTTTTTCCATCTTGCTTAGTTTTAGTTTTATTATTTCTTTTACACTGACACTCATTTTCTTGCTTTGAAAATTCACGTAATGAGCCTGTACACCTTGCATTAAAAACATGATGTTTGCAGTTATGAAATCCAAAAAGTTAATTGTAGTCTACAGATTAAAAGGCCAGCTATCTTAATATCATGAACTACTAATTCAGACAAAATGCATCCTTTGGGATCAGAGTTCTCTTTCCAATCTGGTTTTCTAGTAGAGACTTGGAGCTGCACTTGAAAGTAGATCTTGGCACACTGCAGATTTTTGTGTTAGCAACAGGTGGTAAAACTGGGTAGATTATTCAACTCCAAATAGCTCCATTTTAACTGTATTTGTAATACTATTCCATTGGCAAAAGACTATGTTAATGTTTTCATTAAAACAATAGGAAGTCCTTCCCATGCATGGCAATTCCATATTTTGAAAAAAAAATATCAGGAATTTAGTACATGTGCTCCACTTACACAGCTATTTACACAGCCTATAGCATTCTTTAATCACAGTTATTATTTCTAGTCTTGAGCAGAACCCTATGCAATTAAAGTTTTCTCTGTTCGTGCTAAAATACATTTCATCTGAAGTTCCTTTGAAAAAGTCTTAAGTGGGTAATTTTAGAATTTCTTGTCTAGGTGCTCAGAAGCTGGTTGAAAAATTAGTTATTTGTGAGGAGGCAATAAAAAGTCAATTGAAAAACAGTTACATTGACCACCAGGAAGCAGGATATGACCAGCTTCATCCTCATTAGAATATACATAGCCAGACCTTATTCTATGGAGTTCAAATCCTCTCTTGGGAATTTTGCTCATCAGTCAGCAGTTATAGGTGACTATAACTATGACAGTGCATTAGCTTTCAGAACTATTTGAGCCCTGGTGCACAACAGTGTTGCAGGAAGGGATACTATATATAGACTCTATCCGTCTATAGTAGTCCTCAACTAATAATCATTCATTTAGCGACCAAAGTTACAACTGCACTTAAAAAAGTAACAACTGATCCTCACACTCACAATTGTAGCAGCATCCCCATGATCACACCAGCATCCCCATTATTAAATTCAGGTGCTTGGCAATGTGAATGGCAGTGTCCTGGGTTATGTGATTATTATTTGCAACCTTTCCAGCTGGCTTCCAACAAGCAAAGTCAATGGGAGAAGCTGGTTTGCTCAACAACTGCATGATTCACTTAACAACTGTGGCAAAAAGGAAAAAAATCAGGCAAGACTCACTTAAGAATCATTTTGCTTAGCAATTCAAATTCTGTTCCCAGTTGTAGTCAAGGAATAGATATGTACAGAGATATCTATTCCTTAAGCTTGCAAGGAAACAGATGTACAGATGTTACATATTGTCACAGCCCCTGGATACAATAATTGTATTTACTTCAACTGCTAATAATATTTTACATTTTTCTACCCAGTAATTGGTTGCTTCTTTTGTCTTTCCATTTTCAGCATAGAGGAAAACATGTTCATAGCAGAATATCCAGTGCAGTACCTCATGGTCTGGAACGACGACCCCATAGAGAGCGAACTGTCTTAATAGATCAGTTTTCAAGGCCCAACACAACTCATACATTCCGGGTAGGTTTGATAGTTTGTAAACATGGGATGAGAGTCAATTTGGCAGTTAAGGCATCAGGCTAGGATAATGATGGTGAACCTTTTAGAGACCAAGAGCCCCAAAACTACCCCTGCTCTATCCCCCGCCCCACCCATCCACAGAGCCACCCACTGCCTCCACAGCCCGCCACATATTGCCCAGGCGTCCCAGCAGTGCCATGGCGCCCCGTAGCATCATCTGTGCATGACGGGGCGGGAGGGCAGAGTCTTGTCCCCACTGCCCGGCTGCCATGTCCTTGGCTGCGCTGCTCTGTGTGGGCCACACCTGGGGGCAACTCTCCTCCGGAGGGCTGCTGGTGGGGCCGTAGGGGGAGGGGGGGCTAGGGCAGCGGTGCGTGTGCCCACAGAGAGGGTTCTTAGTGCCCCCTCTGGCATGCATGCCATAGGTTCACCACCACTGGGCTAGGAACTGGGAGACTGAATTCTAGCCTCATTTTAGGCTAGAACTTCATGACCAGCTTCTTGACTTTGGACCAGTCATTCTCTTGTAGTCCCATGAAGCAGACAATGGCAAATCACTTCTAAAACCCTACCAAGAAAACTGCAGGGACTTGTCCAAGCAATTACCAGGAGTCAAAACTGACTTGAAGGAACGATTGCCGCCCCCCCCCAAAAAAACCAAAGTTGCATGTGTGAGATAACAAATGCATATTTCATCTCCTTCTATTGTTCTCACATATATGTCTGGAACTTGCCAGTTACTCATTTAATTTTTTCCTAATCTTAATTTGTTATTGTATATTAACCAGTGATTGCAGTTTATACACAGTTTGCAAGGTATATTAATAAACTAGATTGTTTATCAATAACCATGATAAACCATAATCCCTGGGTTGTATTCAGTTGCAGTCAAGCTTGCAAAGCAATGGTATAATTTGTACTGTTCTGGGGCACACATAACTGCCCGTGCCACTACATTCTGCACCAGCTTCAAGGATAGCCCTAAGTAGTATATATTATAGTAATCCATCCAGGAGGTTACCAGGACTGACCATAGCTTTCCAAATCTTGTTCTTACAATGAAGCTATCAAAGCATGATGAAACAAGGGATGTGTTTATCAGTTGTCTTATCACAGAGCCAGATCCTAATTAGGGCTATGAGTGAATGATGGGTTCTGTGACTAAGGGAGAACTAGACCTTGAATCTCCTTGCTTCTGATCTAATATCTTAATCACAATTATCAAAAGAAGCAAAGCATTCTATTAATTTAAAGCACATATTTTTCAGTCAGATACACCTCAGAAAAAGTCACCAATTTCTATGGATCTTGCTAATCACTTGTGGACAGGCCAAGGAGTAGTAACAGGTAAGACCTGTTTCATTAAGTATATTTTTCAAAAGTGAGTATAAGACTACATCTTTTTGGATTATAGGATTATGTGTGATTTCAAAATTATTACATTTAACATGCTGGCATTTATTGGAGAAAGAAGTAAATTAAGCAATTTTTTTTATTCCACCTTTAAGTTAAATGCTAATGATAAATTGGCATGACTTAAATGTTAAAAAATTGCAGCATCAAATCAATTTCTGCATTTTCTTTACAAGCTTGATCTTGACCTTCATTTCATCAGTATACAACCCTTTTACCCAGAGGGAACTTTCTTTAAAAAAGTAAAGTACAACTAAAGAAGTATTTAAGATTTGATTAAGATTGTAAAAATTAAAGAGTTCAGATTGCAAAGATAGGTCTGAAAAGGAAGATGTGGACTCCTTTTCTAAAAGTTGAAAGAGGGAGAACAATTCCTGAGGAAAAACAGCTACGTTAGAGCCAACACCGGAAGGAGCCTTTTCCTATGTGCCCAGCAAAGAGATCTTAGAAAGCAAGGCGAGTTTGAGAGAGCCTCTCCTACTGACCTTAGGGTAAGTTCATATTGAGATAGGTGGTCCCTTAGAAAGCCAAGTTCAAAATTCATTAAGGCCGAAGACCAAAGCCAAGACTATTAAATTGGAAAAAATGATGCTCAACCATGCAAATCTTTCAACATGGTCTTCTAGTATTATGCACTGCTTAACAATCTGACTGGCAGCATCTGAAGTTTTGGATGCATTTCAACAGTAGTCCTGCATTGAACACATAATAATAATAATAATAATAATAATAATAATGATGATGATGATGATGATGATGATGATGATGTTGGAAGGGACCTTGAAGATCATCTAGTCCAACCCCCTGCTCAGGCAGGAAACCCTATACCATTTCAGACAAATGGCTGTCCAGTCTCTTCTTTAAAAACTTCCAATGTTGGAGCATTCACCGCTTCTGGAGGCAGGTTATTCCACTGGTTAATTGTTCTAACTGTCAGGAAGTTTCTCCTTAGTTCTAGGTTGCTTCTCTCCTTGATTAGTTTGGATGTAACTAAAGATACAGACAACTGCTGTGGGGGGTCGACTCCATATGGCTCATTTGCAGTTGGCACACTAGATGTAATTATGCAGCCACTATTGGTGTTGGAAATGTCTGTCTGGAGAGAGAACTTGTTGAGAGGAAATACAATCCTACCCACAACAAGCTGAACTTAATCCAGCAACCTGAGGATCCAGGATGAACAATCCTTGATAGCCTCTGGACTTAATTTCAGCTTGTTTACTTTGTCCAGCATTATTGAACTTAACAATTGGCTAAGAATTGGCTGTTTCCTTGGAATTAAACATTTAAGAGTAACTGAATACCTGCCATTTACATACTTAAAGCATCTGAGTCAGTGTTCCATATAATATCTACCAGTGATTTCAGGTAGATATTGAACAGCAGGAAGAGAACACAGAACTTCAACATCTGCCATCACAGTCCTGCGACAGTAAATACAGTAGATAGAATAGGGCCAAAAGGCCCAGCCCTCCTAAGCAGTCCAGTAAAATAATGTTTCTGTAATCCACATAATCTTCTAAGCTGGCCAAAGCAATCCTGGTTTCATACAGAATAGAATTCTTTATTGGACAAGTGTGATTGAACACACAAGGGATTTGTCTCCGGTGCGCTCTCAGTGTACATACAAGCAACAAGTGATAAATGATCATAATCATCATAAAATACATTCATCATAAATCTTAAGAAACAACACTGACTGATAGTTTTAGAATATTAAATAAGCAATCAACATAAATCATACTAGGATACTAAATAGAACAATATAAATCGTAAGATAACAAGCAACAAACTTATAATATAATAGGAAAGATGAGAAGGATAATAGTAATATAGCCCTACTAGGTAATTTGACAGTGTTGTGGGAATTAGTTGTTTAGGAGAGTAATGGAACAGGGGAAAAAACTGTCCCTGGGTCTAGTTGTTCTTGTGTCCAATGAGCTATAATGTCGTCTTGAGGCAAGAAGTTTATGTCCAGGAGATGAGCGGTCTGTAGATATTTTCAGTCGTCTTTCTGGCTCGTGCAGTATACAGCTCCTCAATGAAAGGCAGTCTAGTAGCAATTGTTTTTTCTGGAGTTCTAACTATCCATTGAAGTCTGTGTCTGTCTTATTTGGTTGCAATGCTAAACCAGATAGTTATAGAGGTGCAAATGATAGACTCATTAATTTCTTTGTAGAACTGTATCTGCAGTTCTTTGGGCAGTCTGAGTTTTCTGAGTTGGCGGAGGAAAAACATCCTTTGTTGTGCCTTTTTTTTATGCTGGCCAAAAGCTTGAGTGAAATGGTCAGGTTCTTTCAGATGTGTTGGAAATTACAGGATACTACTTCCTTGATTAATTTAACCAGAAATATTGCACTTGAGAGTTCTAAATCAAGGAAATATTTTGATGGAATGGGGGTTTGACTCAGAGAAGAAGAAAAGGAATGCTGAACAGTTACAAAATAGATATCTGAGGCCTGGGAAACAAGAGAAATAAATTCAAAACAATTTGCTTTGATTGTGATATGAAAAACCAGAGAAGGAAGTTTTCAAGTTTCTGTTGCAATACTGAAACCTCACTGAAGTACATTCCAAAACTCCTGCCAACTCCTACTTTGAGAAGCTGACAGTAATGGATTTCTCTGTTGTTGAAGGATACATTTTTGAGGAATACAGTGTAATGATCAGCTGCTAATCAGTTTATCAGCTGAATATCCATTCGGATTATAGAAGAAAACACATTTACTAAAGAATGCAGTATTGCAGGCTAACTCTGCCCTAGCCAGTTCAATCCTGACTGTCTGAAACTTGACTCGGCTTTCCGTCCTTCCGAAGATGGTAAAATGAGGACCCAGATTGATAGGGGCAATATGCTGACATTTGTAAACCGCTCAAAGAGTGCTGTAAAAGCACTATAGAGCGGTATATAATTTTAAGTGTTATTGCTATATCTCCTATCCTGATTTAATATCCAATTGGCCTTCAGCAATGCACTCTGTAATGATCATTTGAAAGGTACAATTGGTGCAAAATGCAGCAATTAAATAATCTATTTATTATCTGGCACTATGTGCCAGGAACACATTGGACCAGTGATGCAGAACTGGCTTGGTTGCTAACATGGTTCCAGCTGCAATTTAACCTATCTAATCAGTTGAGATACTTGCAGAGCCACTTCATCTACCCAGAGGAACTGGTGTGCTATATGCATTCTGGAAAAACTGTTGATTTTCTTGAAGTAGGGTGCTGAGGCCAGACAGTGTTTTTTTCTGTATACTACAGCTCTTGGATAGAAATATCATTCTTCTAGGGATTATATGTAAAGAACAGCAACAATAAACAATATTGTTTTCCTCCTCTTTCTGCATCCAGACTATTTATTGTTATTTTAAAATTTTCTAAACTTAGCTGACCATCTATGCAACATAACTGGCACCATGTCAGAATACCTTTTCGTTCAAATATATTCTCCCCAATAAGTGAGATGCATATGAATTGAAAACCATTTTCCAAATAAAAGAAGGTGAACTGCAAAACTCCCACAGGCTCATCTGATGATGTGTTGAAAGATAAGCCATAATGATGTCATTGTTTTGTAATATTGAAGTAAATATTTACATATGATCATGTGCATAACATTTCTTTTCAGTTTATTTGGTTTAGCTATTTCTATACTTATTTATTTAACACTGAGGTCCAACCAGAGAGACTTTGAATGGTGCACTTTGAAGCAGATCAAAGGGCACTCTGATTTGTTTGAACCTGTAAAGCAAATACCTGTGTCCTTTCCCATTGACATTTCCATACTTGCCATCTCTCCATCTACATAGGGGATAGAGAAGGGCTGCAGAAGGAATCAGTAATGAGAAATTGTCCTCAGCTGGCACTGCAATAGAGCCAGCAACACATACTGTATAATAGTGTTTCCCAAACTTGACAATTTTAAGGCATGTGGACTTCAACTCCCAGAATTCCACAGCCAGCGTTGAAGTCCTCATGCCTTAAAATTGTCAAGTTTGGGAAACACTGCTGTATAAGAAGCCCAGCTAGCAGGCAAAATACTCCTTCCTCTCCCCGGGAATAAAACAGGAAAAGTATGGCAAAACCAGTGGAAACCTGGTATTGGATTACAGCAGCAGCAGGGATTGTGGTCACGCGATTGCATGGTTTAGGAATGACAGGCATTCCCTATTGTCATTGTACCTGCAAATGCACAGGTCTTTAAGCGGGAAGTGGTAGGATTCACAAGTAAGGAGTGTGGGGGTTAGGTTAGGCGATGGGGAGCCCCATCTCAGGTTGAATTTGAGTTAGGGAGTTTCTGTGGCGCAGCAGGTGAGGGAAGAGGGTGCCGGTGCATGTCAGCACAGGGAGGACAAGAAAAAGAAGGCAGAATCCAGTGTGCAGGAAGGTGAGGGAAGTGACTGGAAGCTTTTTTTGTGGGCTTTCCCATTGACTTTGCTTAGGGGAAGTTGGCAGGAAACGTTGCTAATTGTGATTAGGTGACTGCAAAATGCTGCAACTGTTGTTAAATGCAATGTGGTTGGCTAATCCCTGACTGAGGGATTGCTGGGGCAGCTGTGTGCATGAGGAGCAGTCATAAATACCTCTTGTTTAGTGTAGTTGAAGAGTCTTTGAATGAGTGATCAGTAAACAAATACCACTGTATTACACCTCTCGGTGACAGAATTAATGGCACATAGTTACAGAACCTGGTTGTCTTTCCTGGTTGAAATTGGCCTTCTCTGTAGCACAGAATTAACACTAGAAAGTAAGCTTCTGAAAAAAAAATCAGGGTTATATTTTCTGGTTGCAGTGGACTGTATCTACTTAAGTCTCTATTGCCTGATTTTTTTTTTTTCTTACAGGTTCACAGTTCCATGCCAAGTCATTCCAGAAAAATCCATCTCTCTCTAGGAGAAGATTTCAAGTTGCTTAATGACATATAGGAGCAAGAAGAGGAGAAAAAATTATTGGCACACAGTCAAAATCCTGAATAATTCAGCAATCCTTAGGAATAGTGAAATGTTATCTCTGGGTATTCAGTATCTGTGCATATTGCCTGAATGTGGAGTGCCATTTGATTTCTAAAAGTATAAATTTCTACTAAACTGAGTAAGAAAATGGCCTTCATGTTCTTATTTTCTTATGTGGACCAATTCACAATTACAGCTAAGCCAAAGGCTTCATTTTGTGACTGAGGATCTTTGAACATAGGAACTGGTCGTGGCTTTTGCTTTCTTCTGCATTTTAAATTACCTTTTCTTCCCTGAAAGGGTTGAACATTTCTGTATTCCACTGCAATGTGTTTCATAAAAGTCTTCTGATATAAAAAAACATACTTGTTTAAAAACAAAGAATAAAACGAAACATGACCCTCACCACAAAGTATTGCCCCTATGCAAATAATTCTTATCTAAAATTTAGCTTGCTTCCTATATAAAAAGGACGTTGGAGTTGCATCGCTTCCTTATTCCAAAATCCCCTGAAACATGCTTGTGGGGCCAGTTAAATAGCTTTTTAGACTAACTGATTAGAAAAAATACAACTACATTTTGAAATGCATTTCAAAGTTTGGACTATTCAATGCCCTCTGCATGGGGCTATGCTTGAAGGACATTCAGAAACTTCAACTGGTATAGAATGCAGCAGCTCAGGCAGTTCTTAGGGCCCCTAGGATGGCCCACGTATCACCACTGCTCCCTGAACTACACTGGCTGCTGGTTTGCTTCCAGATGCAATTCAAGATGTTGGATCCCAGTGGGGGAGCATCCCAGTGGAGGTGGTTGATGATTTAAGAGGCAATCCCGCCTCCCCTCTGTGTATCCTGTTCCCCCCTTCACATCTTTTAACTATAATTTTATCTTTGATTGAAATTTCATTTTTATTGTTTTAGAAATATTTAATGCTTTTAATGCTATAAGCCGCCCAGAGTTGCTTTGAAACAAGATGGGCGGCAAACAAATCTGATAAAAATAAAAAATAAAAATGCACTTAAAGGTTACACATGCTGAAAGCATACATCAACAAGAATAAAAACCAAACTCTATCTTAATATAATCCCATTGTGTATATCCTTAGACAAGCAGATTGACAATTTGTAATCATGTAAATTTTTGTGATTTTTCAATGATAATAATTAAGGTTATGATGATTGATTTGGGATCTTTGGATTTGAAAGGAAAAGGTGCTTTAGCCCTTTTATACCCACATAGCACCAACCAGCCAATTGTTAAAGCTCTGAATTCTGTAGCTGCCCTTAGCAACTGTAGTGCAATTCCAAGATTTGATTTGAAGAGTTTCATAAGGTGTTATGTGTAAAACCCTAATAATCATTACAAATCGGGAGTGCTCAATTTGTCGTGGATTCTTTCCAGATTACCTAGGTGGAGCACTTGCATGTTTACTAAACCACCAAACTAATCATTGCACCAGCATGTTGCAACATAATTTGTATGTTAACTCTATTAGTAAGTTAAGTATTAAGACAGTGCAGAAGGTATCAAGATTCTTTCCTGAACAGTGTTTTAGTTAAGAAAGATTTTGTTGTACCACTTGGAAACAGAAATCCTTAAATATGTAGAAATTAGAATTTAAACTTCCATGTAGAAATTAGAATTTAAACTTCCATGCTGAATAGTCCCCTTGCTATAACTGTTTTGGCCTGTTTCCCAGTTATAAAATGTCTTCAAACAACATACTATTCTAGTAGTTTCCCTTTACCATTTTTAAAATGTAATCCCTAATTCCTTTTTTGCTGTTTATTCAGCCTGTGACTGTTAAAGAATGATTCACAGAGCAATTTCACTTATTGCCAATTATTAATAAGAGCTAGAAAATAATGCAGATGCATTTATTTATGCAGAATAATAGGTAGATTATCACAAACTGAGCCTATTGCTGAATTTTCAGATTTTTATTTTCTAACAAATTTAATGTAAAATGTAAAATCAAATATTTTCCCTACTCAGTCAGCAGCCCAATTAAACATATGCTTCAAGATCCAATGGATCTGTGAAAATGTATATAAAATGTTAAAGTTTAAAAATTGCTTACATTTGTATTTTTATGAAAGCTTGCCCAATTTACGCTTTCCAAATATATATGTGTAATTTATATGTTGATTTTTAAAAAAATGTTAAGTACTATAACATGATGAATGCATACATTTATTAATAAAAAAGCAGTTCCAAAATTGTATATATTATAAAAAAAATCTGTGTTAGCTTTAATGCATATAAAAATGTATAAAACCTTTACCAAGATACTTTTAAGAGCAAATGTACATATAGAAGTGGCAAGAGACTAAAATAAGATACAGTGATAAAATGAGCACATGAAAATTATGATGAACTCACTGCATCATCAAGAATCATGTAGGCAGTTTTATTGCAGCACCAACAAGATTTTAAATCAGACCAGATTCATGCTCAAGCAATGTGTTTCTTTGAAAATTTTTATTTAAAATTATGACCATTAGATAGCATCTAGAGAATTTCATAATAAAAATGTCATCATTAAGTGTGTGTGTATGTGTGTGTGTGTGTATACACACATATATATTACACTTTGAGAGTATATGCTGAATTTCTATGCCAAAATGACAAATTGTGCATGTGCATCTTTGTATTTCTCATTCTCTCTGCAGTTATAAACTAAGTCAGTGGCTCCCAACCTTTTTTATACCCCGCACCCCTATAATGCTTCTGATATATTCTTTTAACAGTAACTCTTTGACTTGGAAGCTCAGGAGGATGAACTGCAGCCCTCTTCAAATGAAAATATTTCAGTGAGAGCAGTTTGAAGCTGGTTGAGGTGTTCAAGAGTGTAACGGGCTCTATGGATGTGCAAATAGCAGGATGTGGCTGTGAAAGCTATTTTATTAACCAGAGAAGGAAAAAAAGAAATTTAAATAGCTTTATCTTGATTTCAGGAAACAGCCTGATTGCAAAAACTTTGACTATAAGTTATCTTTGTTTTGAGAAAAAAAAGGCAAAACAGGATTTCTCCCGTTCTCCCCGTGACCAAGTGAGTGAACTAATTTGCAGGTTAAATTACTGTGTAGAAAGATCCTTGAGAATCATTCATTTTTCTTTCATGTTCTGATCTCCTGATTTGCCCAGAAAGGAAAATCAAGCTGTCCACACTGACAGTAGAATAATATGACACAGTGAGTTATTGTGAACAGTTTGGTGAATTTGAACTTCGACTGAAATCAAGAAAATGGAATATATGCAATGTGGCCCCCAAACCGATGGTGTCATCAGCACTGGTGAAGAAGAACTGAAGAAAGTAAAGCAATTCAAGTACCTCAGCTCCCTCATATACAGCAACTGTGATAGCTTTATAGATGCCCGCGCTGCTATCTATGCCCCTTGGAGGAAGTGATGCCAGGTGACTGGGGTCCTGTGTGATCATTGGATGCCTCTATGCTTCAAGTCAAAGATTTACAGAATGGTAGTGTGACCAGTCACTCTATGGATCTGAGTGCTGAAAAGAGCAGACTCTACGTGTGATGGAAATACAAATGCTCCAATGGTGTCTTGGACTAACATGATTCAACCACGCCATGAACGACAATATCCCATGTTGACTGGGAGTTGTGCCAATTATAGCAAAACTGCAAGAAGTAAGACTTAGATGGTATGGACACTTCATATACAGTAAAGAAGACTCAGTGATGAGGATAGCCATGTGTCTGGACCCTGATGGCCGGTGACTGTGTGGCAGATCCAAGTAACAGTGGATGGATCGCATCAAGGAGGACATGGAATGTGTGGGTGTCACCCCTGAACCCACCCTGGATCAAGCCAAATGGAGATGGCTGTGCTGACAAGCGGACCATAGCATGGGAATAACGCTAGGAAGAAATTACTGTGTTTTCATCTCTGTATAGAGAAATGAGCACTAGACATTTGCCCTCAGTCAGCTGTGCACTCGCCTTGTATCTCTGTACCCTGAGGTCTTCAGGCAACTGAAATATTGGGGGGGGGATATTTCAGCTTAAAAATGGAATTGGGTAAATTCAGGAGATATTTGAGAGAGGATGTTCTTGGACTATGTTTAAGAAAGCAATCTGATGCAAATTTCCATTAATGGAGACTAGCACAATGGAAGATTAAAAAACAGGCCTTTGGTTACATCTAACAAACACAGAGGACCAATTAATAGCATGTTGCTGTTATTTAAATTGGACAGAAATTTCATTGGGATTAAAGTACACTGGGAGGATTAACCTTTCCTTCGATAAACAATCCCAGAAGTCTCTTTCTAACCTGTAGATGTAGCTGTAAAAACTTAATCCTAAAATTGTGATATAAAGTGGGAAACCAAAAGATAAAAAATAATACAATAGAGAATAGGAAAAGAAACTATATTTGTTTACTGAGAAATAAACACTTTTTAAATTGAGTGATAAAACCTTTTAGCTGCCACTGTGTTTGCAATAGCAAAATCCTTGTTCATAAATGTAGATGTTCATAAAAACTACCAATCAACTTAACCCTTGTTTATATACAAGCTCTTTTGTGCTGCTGTTCATATTATAGCACCATGAGGAAATGATTTTACTATGATCTTGTAGAATATAACTTGTAAAAAATTAACTCTGTCTTTCCATATGGCATCATTTTCTGCTCTCAACTGCTGGAAAGCATTTGGAAGTTTGTTGTGTAACTTTTTCTCGACAACCTCAAAACAGAGTTGGCAGGAAACTTTATGTGCCAATCAGCACTCCCTCTGTTTCAAAATTAATTAGTATCAATTAACATTTTTTTCAAATTTCCTATAGACCTACAACCTCTCATAAAGGCTGAAATGTAAGTTTATGTGGAAAATGGATGTGATAATGATTCAAATGGTTCATTTGAATCTAGAAGATGGGGCAGCTTATATAAACAGGGAAGCTCAACCCGAACATACTGACTACAAGGACAGAAATATTTCACGGTAAGTTGCTCTGAATTCAAGGGTGGAGGCAAGAATTTCAATAGAAAATATCCCATTTCCAAGCATTGCATAATTCCAGTACATAAATTTCAAAATATAAGTGCTTTGATTTCATCTGTACTGCAGCCAAGTTGAAATAAATAAGGTTGGCTGGAACCAAGGAGAACAACTATGGGGACCAAGACAAATGCCATTTCTGGAAGGTCTAACTGGAAATCAAACTTCCTGATAGTACCTAACATTTTCCCCTGATTTTTACAGATCTTCCAGAACAAACTTGATAGTTTGAGGCATGCTGATGAAGCGAGGTAGAAAAATAGGAAATGAGAAAGAAAGCCTCATGAGTGAACTGTCCCCTGGAACGTAAGGGTAACATATTTCAGGTACAGAAATCCAGTTAATCATTTGATGAGAGTCAGAATCTCCTATTTTCTATTATGCACATTTTTGTGACTCGCACCACTTCCATAGAGTACCGTAATTCTTATTTATTTTTATTTTAATTCTCCCATGCCATGGAAAAATGAAGCATTAAGTATAAATTGTACAGCAGTGTGCTCACACAGTGATGAAAATTTACAGAAGTGAGGCTACTGTTACCCAATACTTGTTTACATTCAAAACGTAGTCCATTTGGTTTGTTTTTGTTTCCAGTCTGTTTATACCTTTGAACTGGCAAATGTGCTTGGATTATTAAAATAACATTTTATATATTGCTAGCCATTAATAGAGAGTGTGTTCCTCCCACATACATAGTACTCTGCAATAAATTTGTAAGCTTTCTGTAACTTAACACAGCAAAACAGGAATTGTGCACCCGATTCTGCCTGTTGTTTTCTTGTTTTGAATTATATTTATAATGTGAAGTCACCGTAAAGAGTTTAACTAATGATAAAGAATAGGTCACTTATTTAACAAGAAGCAATATTTGAGGGATGTATGTCCAAGAACAAATTTTAATATTATCAATAATATGCTGTTAAACTAGACTGCCAAATATTTTTTAATAAATTTCAAACAAATGTATTATGCAGACACTTAAGAACTAGCAAACAGAAACAGTTAAATGATGTTTTCAATTGCTTTTTAAAAAATAGATCTTAAAAGCCTTGCTTAACTTGTTCCTAGGTCTTAAGGAATACTTATATTGCATTAGCAAATAAAGGCTAAACAAGAATGCTAAAATCATTCCAAATTACATAGAGAATGCTTCCTGAACAATATATTCCTTTGCATAGTTTCTAAACAGATACTGGATTCACCCAATTTCTGTTTAGAAATATATATTCATTTACTAATATTTGAAATATTGTAGAAACTCAGATAAATGTTTGTTAAGTTACATTCTTCATCGTTTCTTGTCTACAGCATCAAAAGTGTAGTAAAATTAAGTATAGTTAGCAAAGATGGCCATAGGGAGAGGAAAAAATTCCCTCTGCAATGCCTTTTTCTGACCTATAGCAAATTACAAAAAGTTTGCATGTTTTCAGTTTTTCAAAAGCTCTTGCATAATGTATACTTTTCAAGATCTCAGAAAGTCTATGGAGATTCTCAGTCATCCAAGTCATGGTGTTTTTTCCAAAGGCAACTGGACTTTCTTTGTTTTTCCTTGAAGACATTTTGCTTCTCATCCAAAAAGTGTCAGAACTGAAGAAGCGTCTTGGATGAGAAATGAAACATCTTCAAGGAATGTATGAAGATGTATGAAGTGTTTTTAATTGATTTGATTTTACACTGCTTCCATACAATCCCACCTCAAAGTGTTATATAAGATTTATTAATAAAAATAAGAAATTAAAATAATGTAAAAAAATCATTATAACAGGGTTGTGGTAAGGAAAGCAAAACAAAATTAACCATTTACCTGGCATTCAGACCAAGACAGTCTGAATGAAAGGATAAAATATAAGCAGGTACTGAAAACTGTGAAATAATGTTGTGGAAAAATTGGTTGTTATTCCCAATGTTGTAACCCTGCATCTGCCAACTCCCTTGCGTGTTCACTGTGCCACTCATTCTGTGGCTTCACTCTGCAGTGCCGCAGTCGCTGCCACCACCACAGCCCACTGTGAAGGGTAGAATTGGGCATATTGGTCCAGGTGGCTGATGGCCTGGCTGAGAAACAGTGCTAGGCGGTCTGGATCCCCATCAAATGTAGCTTGCAAGGGCGGAGGACCCCAGGACATGCCTTGGGGCCCAAACCCCATGGGCTACACGGAACCCTGTGAAGTGCAACTGGCCTGCTGAGGGTCCTGACCAATAGGACCTGGACCCTGCCGGGCTGACGGACGGGCCACTGGAACCTGGCCCCTGGCAGGGCCCCCACCAGGCCCCAATATCATACTTCCTTCCCACGATGTCTGCGGTCGTCCAGCCGAGGCAGCCAGGGATAAGCTCTGTTCCAAAGCTCTCACCTGCAGAATATCGCGTGCATGACTAAGACCGGCATACAATCTGAACTTTAGGCTAGCCAAACGGAATCGGGTTTGTGATGTCTGAGCTGGCTGAGACCCTGTTCACTGCCAGCCCACAGCCTTAGCTCCAACCTCCCAATGCAGCCATGCAGGGGCATCCTGGAATCTGGCCTCTCCGAATCTTTCTCACAATACGTCCATTGTGTAACTTCCCGGAGCTGTAGAGTAACTCCACTCCATTTCCTCATCATTGGTCAACTGCCTCTCCTGCCATTCAGTCAACTGGGGTCCGCGAACGCCCGGCATGGGCAGTTGGCAGGCTGCAGGAGCAGTCACAGCCAAACTGTGCCACCAATCCCCTGAGGAACCTGTCTCCTGCACCATCCCTGAGGCCAACCGCGCATCAAATGCCGGCACATCTAGTGTGGTCTCACACAGCTTGTGGCATACCGTTGGCTGAGCGCTGTCCTCCACAGGCTCTGGTGTTGCCACATCTGCCGCAACTCTACCACTTCTCCTGCAGCCACCACTGGCTCAGTGCCCTCAGCCATCTCCCCTGTACCTGCACAATCAGGAACCACCAGTGAAAATGGGGGGGGACAGGAAAAGAGGAGCGCTGACTTTCTGTCAAAGGTCCCAGCCCCAGACCTGAGCCCAACAGAAACACAGTCAGTCTGGGACCAAGGAAAACTTGGTTTATTCAGGCTGGGAAAGTAAAGGCACACTTTGGCTTACAAAGTGTTAACCAGCAATCACAAAATAAAGTCAGCGCTGGGAGCTACTCTCTTTTGTTATCTGTTTTCACATGACCCATTTCTTCAAGTCCTTCTATCCACATGATTGGTTCAATTAATTATAATAGTTCTGGGTCAGTTTTCCAATAACACTGATAAATATTTTTCTACAACAATGGTAGGTAGCACAGCAGTTTCAGAGAAAAAGTATCAGAAAAAGATAGGACACCTTTTATAGTGTATTTTTTATTCATCTAATTAAAAAAATGCCAATATTAATTAGGATGCTATGGCTTCATCACAGAAATCATTGAAGAAACATAGTAGCCAGTCAACAAAATCAGTGCTTGAGGTTGGCGTAATGATCTTATTTAGAAATCATGACAAACTAACTCCAGACGAAAGAGAGTATACACTAAATAGTTTGTGTACTTGCAAAACTAGTTGATATGAGCAAAAATATTAATTATAGGACGCTGAATGCTAACATAATTTGAAGTAAGATAGGATCTGGAATAATTAAATGAAGTCACATATGAACATCACTGAAATAAAATTGACTACGCAAGCAAAAATTCAATCAACAAAAAACTGCTCAGTTCATGAACTCCTTATAAAATTACACCTTAAAACTAAAAAAAAAAAAAAAAATCAGACCATAAGATATAATCTCATGAATATTCTCTATAGTTATTTGATCAAGTTAGGAAAAAAGATAAATATTGCTAACAAAAAAACTATGGGAGATGATGAAATGCCAGAACTATTTCGAAGTGTAACTTGTGCTACTTATACATTTTCTAGCATTAGATGAGGGGTTGGTCATGATCTGGATTGAATCACTCGTATTTTTTCCAAGGGAAATTGTTCTCAAATAGTGCTAATGTGCACCATAGATGGTTTGTCAGAAATATTGTATGGGCATTTTGTGGGACTTAAAAGAGATATATATTGAATAACACAATAAAAATTATGGTAAAAATTATGGTAAAGAAATATTAAATTAACTAAAGCAGTACCATATAAAGAAAACCTATACAAAATGTTTTACAGATGGCACATGACATCTCAGTGAGACTAGCGAAAATGTTTAAAAATACTTCAAACAATTGTTAGAAATGCAAACAAAGGCCAAGTACTTATTACCACATCTGGTGGACATGCCCTAAAGCAAAAAGGTATTGGGCTAAAATACATTTATGGTTGGAGAAGATGACTAAAAAACAAATAGACTTTAAACCAGAACTGTTTTTGTTAGGAATAATAGGAACCAAGTATGAGAAAAATTGCAGATATCTAATACTGCATTTATTAACAGTAGCAAGAACTGTATTTGCCCAATATTGGAAAAATGAAAACTTACCAACTGAAGAAGTACTAAGAAAATTTTAGAGTACGCAGAAATGGATAGATTGAATTTAGAGATTAAAGAGAAAGAAGACTCAGTATACTTTAGAATAGTGATGGCAAACCTTTTAGAGACCGAGTGCCCAAACTGCAGCCCAAAACCCACTTACGTATCGCCGGGTGGATGTGGCCCACTCGGGTGCAGCTAGAGTGGGCTTGGCAGACTGGATGGGAGTGGCCACTGGATGGATGTGGCTACAGTAGTCATGGCAGATTGGGTGGGCATGGCCGGTGTGTTGGTTATAGGGAACACCTGTGGGAGCTGGGCAGGGTTGGGGGAGATTCAGGGGGTCTCTGCCGGGTGGGCTCCCCAATGGTGGCTCCAGGCTGGCTGGCCTTAGGCCAGTGATGGCTATGCGTGCCGCCTCTGGCACACATGCCATAGGTTCGCCACCACTGCTTTAGAACATGGGATAACTTTTATCAATGGCTAGAAAAACAAGTCAGTGAGAAAGGAAGGCTACTGAGTGATTAATACTGTTTATGATAATTAACTAAATCTATTATTCTTAGTTACATACATGTACCCAGATAATATGCTGTTTGCTAAATATTGAAAATGTTACCTGGGAAAACCCCAACCCTAACTGTTGAGTCCGTGGCGGGAAACAGACACGAGAAGCAGCTGGAGTTCTCAGTTTCTTTTATTCAGCGTTCAGCTTACAGGAAGATGGCTTCAGCCTCGCCCAAACGCCTCGCAGCCTCTTATATAGGCAACTCCCGGGTAAATGGGTTACTTTTCCCGCGCCAGCACCCGCGCATGCGCACGGCGCTGGCGACAGCCTGTCTGGTCCCGGGCAGCTTTGCACCTGCCCGGGACTGCCTGCAAACGCCCGAGCCGTTTGCAAGGCTCGGGACATAACACCCCTTTCCCCCGGGCTAAAACTACTACCAACATACAACATTTATTTTATACGACAATTTGCTCCCCAGTGCTCCCACTGTTTACTGGCTTTTGCCTTGCCAGCAATGTTATGTAATCTTCTAGGTACTTAGGAGATTTCTTTGCTCTCTGTGACCTTCTTAGCTCTGGGTTACTGGCATAAGTCCCCTGACTGGAGGGAGGCGTGAGCCTGTTCTCTCTATTGTGCCCTGGTGTCTTCCAAGGACTGTGCCCCGATGCCTGGCCTGCTTGCTTGCCCACCGGGCTCGTCAGGCCAGGGCTTCTGTTGCTTTGTGACCTGGTTGTCCTACCTAGCTGTAGACCCTCAGGCCCCTTGAAGTGATAGCCACTGCTGGGCGTCTCTGTAGAACCTCCTAGGTCAGTCCAAGACCTGTCAGGAGGCTGTCCATTCCCTGAACCCCATTCTGTGCTCGGGCTCGTGTGGGTTTCTGTACTTTCCCAAAACTCAGGTGTTCCCTGATTTGTGCTAGGGGTGTTGTAGTCGGGACTTGGCTCCTCGACTAGCTCTGTGTATGTTTGACCCCCTGTAGGATTTGGGGTAAGGTCAGGCCTGTGGTGGTCTCCCATGGAGAATGAGACACGCAGACAGGTATC